AGATGGGCAGGGTAGGGCGGGAAGGGGGACAGCGGGGACGGCCTGGGGACACTGCGGGGACACCGCGGGACTCGGGGCGGTCACGGAGCGATCACGGAGCCGTATTGGTCGGGAGAGGCAGGGGTCGCATCGCGCAGGGGCTGGGATACGCTCAGGCCCACATGGCGGCTCCGGCAGCCGGCGAGCGCAGGGCCTGGCTTGGTTTTGAATGAATGTCAGTTCTCTCATATCCCCCAGGATCGAGCTGCCTGCTGCTGCTGCTGCAGGGACACACCGGGGTGAGGGCCTGAGGTGACCCTTCAAGGAGGGCAGAGTACAATGAAATACTCTGGCGTAATTACAGTAGCTGGGGGTGAAATATAGGTATCGTTTTGCTTCTGTTTCACCAGTTTCCCGGACTTCAGGTTTGTGCAGAATTCTGGGTACCTTGAAGTCCTTTGTTGTGACTCTCCCAGACATGTGAAGGAGTTGGTGAGGCACGGCACTGGTCAGGGGCTGTATGCCAGCAGGCAGCAAAGGGTTCTGGGCACATCTAGGTGCTCATACTCAAATTACACTTCTGAAAGTCAGTCAGTAGTCACAAACACATGTATATATCATTAATAATAACCAGCTGGTTTTATATATTCATCTCCTATGCATATCAATCTGCAATTCACTTTGATAGAGTTCTTCTCAGATGAAGTTATAACCCCTTTTTGAGTTGATTAGGGAAATCAAGGTTTTCCTTGCAAGTTTAAACTTCATATGGATTACACAGTCCAGACTCCAGCTCCCTGGCTGGGGATGTTGTTAAAACAGCATCTGCTTTGTGTCACAGATTTAGCTGCTCTCGCCTGCTGCGACGATGGACAGCGAGGTGCAGAGGGATGGCAGGATCCTGGATCTGATCGATGATGCGTGGAGGGAAGATAAATTGCCCTACGAGGATGTGGCCATCCCTCTGGTAGGTGAATTGCTACTTATCAATCTGAGTTAAGGCTGCTGTGTTCTTCACAGCCCCTTCCAAGAAAAGCACAGAGTGTTGCTCATGCTGCAGCTCGTTTGTACAAAAGGCTCCTGGATCTGACTCCTTCCTTATATACCAGTCATTCCTGTGTGCATGAGGGCATGCATCCATGTGTATGGATGTTTCTGTCCCTTGTCCCCTGACCAGTTGCTGAATCTTCTCAGAACTGGAGTGCCCTTCCCATTGCACTGTCCTGGGTTTGGCAGGGAGAAGAATAATCGTCCTTTCTCTCTGCCTTCCTTTCTTGTTCCTGGTGTTTGAGGTACTTTCCTGGTTGGTTTAGAGAGCAGAGGATCAGTCTCACACTGACTGTTCCAGTCTTGGTTACACTTTATTTCCGCTTCCTACAATGCCATTTAAATAAGCTGAGACATTTTCATACGTGTTTCAAAGCAGTCTTTTCCAGATACAGTGTTGCTGTTGGCAGTTCCAGGACTGCAGTGAACGACTGGCAGGTGCAGCAGGATTCTTGCTGCAGTGTTGTCCAAGGCATGGCACCTCTTCTTTCATCCAGGGTACAGTTGCAAGGCTGGAGAGGGGCAGCAGGGTAAAAGCTACTGCTGATCCCACACTGACACATTTCCTTAGGTATTTTGAAACTTCCAGGGAAGTGAGAGTTAGCTGAGGATTTTTCCTTTCCCTTTTTCTCTCTGGTACATGAGCTTTACCCCAGCTAGCACAGATAAAGCAGCCACAGGGATTGTGGGGTGCTGGTTTATTTCAGAACAGACACATTTCCAAATTTATGATGTGGCTCAAGCTTTAGGCCTGCCACCACTGGCTTTTCAGAGAGGGCAAGGAACACCTGCACAACTCAAAATCCTTATGTACAGCACACATTTTCCTGCCAAGATCTGGGCTTGAGGGAAGAGTCTTGCAGAAGCATGATTCCCAGCTAAAAGAGCCCAAAACCTCCTTTGCTTGGGATAACCTTTATTAGGCAAGCTGAGTATCATTAACAGGTTCCTTATTGACAATTGTCTTCACCCCGAGTCCAAACATTACTGTTTCTTCCCTCAGAGCCATCTTGTGATGGCTTACAGTCACATACAGATGACAGCCTCAGAGAAGGAAGCCTTACCAACTAACAATAGAAAGAAAGGCCTGGCTGTGAATATAAAGATCCCCAGAGATGGGATTGGTGCTGATCACATAGAAAAACCAGCATGAATTCACAGGGGACTTACTCAGAGACATTGCAAAGGAGCAACCAGAATGGCTGTGAAAGTGGTATTTGAGCCTGTCCTGTGAATCTGTTCCAGTGCTCACTCAAGATATTTCTGGGAACTCAAATGGGAACAAATGGGTTCAATCATTCACTGTTTTGAAAGCTGAAACATTTAGCTCATGCTGGGATTTCCAGAGGTCTAGAACTCAGAATTCCTGCCCAAATGGTATCTGCCGTAACAGCACACACTCAGTGTGATGACACCAATACAACAAGACAGAGAACAAATAATAGCAGGAAGGAAAATGAAATCTCAGTTAAACTTTCCTTCCTCTTACTATGTCATGAGCAGCTCTGTGGCACACCTGACAGGGGGTTCCAACTTCTGCTGTTGATCCAGCACAGCTACACCTGTCCAGCATACGTTCAGGAAGGACTTCTCACCTGCCATAGGAAAATAACATTTTACAGAACCAGTTGTCTGCAGTATTTGTATTCTTGGCAACAGCAGAAGCAGTGAATTGCAAACAAGCAATTAAATAAATGCACTGTACTGTTATTATTTACTTACTTTGCATTTGCTGTATATTCTCCTTCACTGCATGTGCAGTCTGAATGTATAGCAAGGCCCCAGGGTCCTGGAAAACAATTTACCTTTCAGATTAAGCACTGTATTCAAATGAAAAGAATACTGTTCATGACTGGGCTCAGCAATATTTTTAAGTGGATCAGTATGTATGATATTTATTGTTCAGATGCACCCTCTGGTCTTGTTTATGGGTTTTTGTATCCATCCATACAAATCATAACAACCTTGCAGGAAGTGTATTAAGTGTGGAATGCATTGTACCTGTGTTTTATTCTCAGAATGAGCTCCCTGAACCAGAGCAAGACAACGGTGGTACCACTGAGTCTGTGAAAGAGCAAGAAATGAAGTGGACAGATTTGGCTCTCCAGTATCTCCATGAAAACGTTCCACCCACGGGAAATTAGTGAATCAGTGGAATTTCATACAGTGGATGCATGAATGTAATGTAATAATATTTTTTAGCTGACCACTGCTGTCCTAAGCTGCCCTGAGGAAGAAACAATATTACGGAAACTTTCAGATTCCAACAGTGGTACTGCTCACAATGAAGAGTTTAAAATGCTTCTTTCTTGAATGTGAAATAGTAGAGGCTCTGATATCTCAGAGCCAAGTGCAAAATGTTTCATGCTTATAAGATTATTTAATGTTTTCTGTTAAATTGTTCTTAAGTTGGTGTGAATTCTGATCTTAAATGTTTTCTGCACATGATTAAAAAGTTTTTACTGTCTTGAATTGCAGTTGATTTCAAAGATCACAGTGGGATTACTGTCTAGAATTCAGTGTACAAAATCCACATAGCTGTGAGTTGTTTCTATTTTTAACAAGTGTGTGGCTGAGGCAGGATATGTTGGGCAGTTTTAAAAGGTTGGTCAGCAGAATCAAGAGTGTGGAGTTACCTGTAAGCACTTGAATTCCTGTTCTCAGGATCTGATGGTGGTAGTGGACAGCATTTCCAGTGCTGACATCCTGGGAATGTTTGCCAATGTGTACAGTGAACAGACTAATTTATGCTGAAATGGTGGTTACTCAAAATCATGGTCTGCCGAGGGATGGTTGAGAGTTCCAGGGAAGAATCTGCCATTCCCAGTGTAGGGCCTCTTGAAGTGAGAGCCACTCGGATGAGCAACCTCAAATGGGAAATGAAAATCCAAAAAAAGTGATGGGGAAAATAAATGAGTAGGGCTTAGCTTCAGGGATCAAATTGTTAACTCTTTGTGTTGAGATGAAAAGGAAGGCCCCCTTGATTTACCTTATTTTATCTCTGGTTCTCAGATATCTTTTGCAACAGGTAAAAGCCTTCTGTTCTTCATGTTTCACTGTTGGACCAATTCTGTCTCACCATTGGCAGAACTTCTTGCTAAGGGAAAATATTTTGACAGTTTAGGATTACTGGTGGAGGTGAGAAAGGAGCTGGAAGGAAAACAATGTTTAAATTATAATCTTTTGCCAGTGCAGCAGAAAAAGCACTGTCCTGGAGCTTCCAGATCCACAGATGTTATTTGGTGTCTATTCATCACCTTCAAAATAATGAGCCCCAGCTTTTGCCTGGGTGATTATCAAATGGGATCACAGCATGGCACGTGTTCAGTGAGACTCAGGTTGCTTAGCTGCTTGATGCTGAAGAGCCCAAGGTGCTTGTGAAAGAATCATGCTAGGCACATGCTCTGCCTCAAGTGTGATCCATGCCTGCACCAGAGGAGCAGCACACACTTGTCTGAATGAAAAGGAGCTGCAGACAGCAGGAAGAGTTAAGGATTAACTTGAGAATTAGCAAAGTCAAAAAGCTTAATAAGTACAGCATGGACCAAAGAACCAGCTATGCCACTGGGAGCTGTAATAGTTCAGCTCCTCATTGGATCATCACCAGGGGAAAGAAAGCAGAGCCTGGGTTCAAAGACGTATTTCTAGTCCACCCCACATTCCCTTTCCCTGGCTAATGTTAGAAGAATTTGCTAAGAAAACGCTGGGTAAGACTACCACCAAACTTCTATCCAGCAGCCATCCCTGTTCCCACCCTTCTCATCCCTTTACAACTCCCCACCACTGTCATTTTCCCAATTTTGGCGCTATACCTTCCAGCTCCAATTACAGACTTCCTTTCCTGCCCCTGACATTTGGCTTTCCTTGGCAATCTCCTTCCTCCCATCCATCAAGGAAAGAAAAATGTTTCCTTTCTTGAATTAGAGCTGAATTTATGAGGTTCCAGCAGGTCTGTGAGAAAATGTGGGAATTCCAGTCGTATGAGTGTCATCCAAGACAGCAGTGGAGAACCAGACACCTTGAAGTGGTACTTTCCCTTTGTCACAGCAAGTGCTGTGCACCTGTCTCCTGCCTGAGGTGGTGACAGGATTTGTAGAAGGGATTCTGGGCTATGGCACTCAGGAGAGCAGGAAGGACATGGGAGATATTAGGGATCATCATGAGCTCTCTAAAGGCAGGGCACTGTGAAACCAAGCGCCAACCCCGCCCAGATGCTTATCAGACTTGCAGTGACATCTACAATCTTCCTGACATTCTTTGCAAAAGATGAATAGGCAGGCAATAATTTCCTTAGTTTCAACAGGTGTAGTCAAATTGCTGCTTACAGCATGATACCAACGCATTTGTGTCTTTGATTAGTCATCCCCCAAGGCAAACTATATTTAAATTAAGGAAAACTGCTAGAATAGAAGGTGCCCCACCTTCTTAAGAAGTTTCATTTGACTGGTCTTCATTTCTTGGCTAGTAACTTCCTCTTTTCACCACACCTACTGTTACTGGCAGAAAAAAAAGCAAGCAAACTGCTGTCAGAGCCAGCAGACACATGCCAGAGAAATTGTGGGATCCTTCAAATCTCTTACCTGTAGAAGTTCCATGTGGAAGTCCATATGCTGAGGCTGTGTGTTGTGTTCATCTACCTTTTGTATGGGGTGAAAACAGGTAAGAACTCAATCATTTGTTTTGAATGTTTTTGTCAAATATAACACATTTTCTGTGCTTTACAGCAACATGAATGTACCTGCCCTCTGCATTTACAGTTACTAAACAGGGTTTCTCACTAGCATTATTTATTTTAGCAAAGCAAATTATACTGGTTACATGAATGTAGTCAGTTCTAAGAGTTCCAAATGGAAAACCAGAAGTATTTTTTTATTATCTTTTCCTCCCTTTGCAAACACTTCTCTTATGTAAGTACAATCCATCGACACTGAAAATGTCATTTGAAATATTCAGAGAATAATGATTTCTTCTCAGGGGTGTCATGTATGACAGAGGCGAAGGATGAATTACCATTTATGAACAGCAAGCTCCATTTGATAGCCTCACAGCCCTACAAGAACAAACCTGTGTAACAATAAACAAATGTACTGCCTTGTGTTAGCATACACATGAGAGCAAGGCAAGTTACAGCTCTCTGCTTTGTAGGGAAAACAAACAGAGTTAAAAAAAAAACAGTGCTCTTATAAATACTAACTTGTGTTTCATCGGGTACTCTGGAGTAATCTCAGGGTTGGTTTGTTTAATAATCTATAGGAAATGCAGCCACTAGAAGTGGGAAAAGAGAATTGTGTGAAAAGACACCGATGAAATGCAGTGAGCTATTGAGGACCAGGTTAGGAGTGGAGGGCACACCATCTCCGTGGAAAAGTGATGGAAATCTGCACCACTAATGCTCTTGAGATTCGTGGTGTGGCAGTGAAGTGTGCTTAAAGGGGCAAAGATATTGTTGATGGTTAAGACCGGTCCGATGACATTGTACATAGCCCAGGCAAGGTGGCAGGGGCTGGAGGGCCAGAGCTCCTGCAGACAGAGAAGCAGCAACACTCTCACCTGAGGTGCTCACTGGGCAAGCAGCTCTGTGTCCCAAGGACCACAGCTGGGACAGCCACACATCTGGCCAAGTGACCACTGAGGTGAAAAATCTGTTGGAACTTCCCTTTGCAAAAGGACAGGCTGGAAAAAACCTCAGCTGCTACTTTATTCATGCAGACATCTTGGTACCACAGCCCCAGAAAGCCGCTGTGGCAAACCCTTTCTGTCCATAGGGTCAACATCAAAGAAAAAGCCTCCAAACACCATCTCCTAGAAAGGAATGAGAAACACCGGGAGAATGCAGGCCTTAAGAGCACTGACTGCAGTAAATACCAGGAGTCTGCCTGGGACTGTTCCACTCCCTGCAACACCTAGCAGTATATAACTTCAGAATATATATATGTGTATATATATAAAATTTCAGAACCAAGTTATTCTGAAGATGCCACCAGTGCTGTAATAGCGCCTTAGAGGCTGATCTCAGACTCAGGACCAAACGTGTCCAGGTCCCTGGCAGGTACATGGATTTAACACATTTTTATGCTCCCTGCTACAGGTTCCAGGAGATCAGAGCACTTTGCCCAGCAAAGCAGTGTTTGTCTCCAATTTTACATATCAGAAAACAGAGCAGAAGGAGAATGGGGATCGCCAGAGGCTATCTAGCAAGCTAAGGAAGGGCTGGAAAAGAGTTACTGGGGTGCTGGGTTAATGGCCATGTTCGTTTCCCTTTACTGGAGGGAAGTGATCTGTTGGACATGGGTTAAGTACAGTGCTAGGGGATAAGTTTCTACCTCATTTATTTGCTTGCAGAGTGAATCTCAGTAAGCCACTTGCCCCAGTCATCCTGGAGTTTCAAAGACACTTCCAGCCATTTGGGTAGGAGTGACTGTGCTTAGCAGAAGGAAGAGCAAAGCCAGGATAACTGGCCATCCTCATGTGTCAGTTTTTAAACACATGGTGGATGAGGCTGGCATTGGCACCAGCTTGGCCAGAAGAGAAGCTGGCAGGTTTCCTCTCCTTATTAGTGCTGATTTGAGTTTGTTATTCAAACCAGAACCAATCTAACAGACCTGGTGCAGATCTAATAAGGCTCTTTATACAGTCCCTGTGTTAGGTGTTAGCAAATGCTGACCAGCTCTTTGAAAGCACTTCAGTACCAGAAGGTTTAGGCTGTTCTGATGACAAACACAGTGCTCCTCTGGGCAAGCCTCAGCACAGTGCAGGAGATACAGAAACAAATTAAGCAATCAGAGCAATCTTGCACCATATAGAAGCAATTCTTGCCTGGCATTTCTGCCTGTATTGCTACAGCTTCAGTGGCAGTAAAGATAATTAACAACACTATATAGTGTTACTATACAATAACTGAAACAATGCCTAGTTATTAGTAAAACACACAGTTCTATATTTTTATGCTGCAGTAGCACCTAGAGGACAGCCACAGAGTCTCACGGTGTGAGCTGGTGTGCATGAACAAAAAAATGCTAATTTTTCTCTGCTAGTTACTTTGGGATCTCCACAAGAGCAGTGTCACAGCAGTCTTGCTGCTGTTCCCCTGGAGCATCTTGTCACTGTAAGAATGAGCTGAGAGCAGGCTGGCCAGGAGGCAGCCACCAAGGTCACCTTTCCTCTTGGGAGCAGGGCCCAGAGTCACACTGCTCCTGGGAGCTCTGAGCGAAGCATTTCAGAGCCAGGACACCCTCCATTCAAAGGCCCCTGATTTCATTGGGCCTGGATGAGGGCACATTTCCCACCACTCCTATCACACCATTCATGTTATTACCATAGGCTTTATACAGGAAGGACTCCATGGATTTCAGATGTTAAAATTTATTTCTGAATTTATTGTAGCAATTTAAAATATTCAGTTGGACTTAACTGCAACATCCTTTTAGCCTATTAACTTTTATTTCTGGAGCTCCTGGGGCTTCTACAAAGTAATTAGCAGAACTGTGGCAACTGAGCAGATTGTTTTATGTGCTGGGCACATAGCATTTATATCACTCTCATGCTCCTGATTTCCTGAGGAGGAGAAAAGGGAAAGTTGCTCATAGAAACTGTGAGAGTTTCATCATTCAGAAATTAAAATGCACAGAGCATTGGAGACTTGCTAGAGCATAATTAACTTACAGCTGCAGGTTTTCTAAACCCTGCTACCTACTGCAGAGTCCTTTAAGCAACAAAGATCAGGAAGATTCCTCTAGGAACTGTAGCCTGAACAATTACTGTAGCTCAGGACATATGTGTGAGAGAGACTCTCCCCCACAAGGTTCTTCAATGAGATTACGAGGATTTGAGGGAAAGGATTGTGAGCCAGGAAGAGGCTACAAAACCTGGGAGGTCCTTCATAAGCAGTATCTGTCTGGAGACAGTTATTCCATTCCCTGCCAGTGCCCTGTTGGAGACTGTATTGGGCTCTGAAGGCTCAGCTGGTGTTCTGCTGGAAAAGCAAGAACAAAGATGGGCTTTCCAATGGCACGGACCATCCCATTGAGCAGTACTTACATCAAATTCAGTTACACTTCAGCTGTGTATAAAGCACAGTTACCATCCCAGAGACTCAAGAGTGCCCTATTTTGCAGTCTGGAATACTAGACTGCATCTGCACATACAAATGAAGCATTGAGCTGCCCCTCACCATAGCAAGACTCTCTGCAGCTTGGCAGCTCCAGGCTGGAGGTACAAACCAACCCCAAAGACACCTGTTTATCTGAGAACCTGTCCAGAGCACTGCTCAAAAACCAGTACAGCAACCATCCTCCCTGTTGGTCTCTAATACCTTTTGGACAGAGTCCCTGCCAACTTCCAGCTGCCAAAGGAAGCAGGGCTGTGGTGTTTCAGGGAATGCTGCTCCAAAAAGGTCTTTTTTCCTTAGTTCCAACACAGCAAGAAAATCTAAGTTTCATGAAGTTATCAGTCATGAGCATGATAGAGAGGAGAGGGAGTCAGGAGCAGCTCCTGTGCTCAGATAACTCACAACACACCTTCCTGCAGTGTTGTGCAGGGTTGGCAGGTACAACAGGCTAAAGAAAATGCCTTGGTGTCAAACTCCAATTGCCACTCCGCTGCTTTCAGATCCTCAGGAGACATGTCCTGCATTCACAGCCCTTGGCTTCGGGAATGCTTTGATAGGGACAGAGCTGAAAGTGAAGCTGCTGCTCCACACCCGGCAGAACCCAACCTGTGCCGAGGAGCTCCACTCAACAGCCTCCAAGTACCTTAATGTGACCAAGAAAACAACCTTCATCATCCACGGGTACCGACTCACAGGCTCTGCTCCGGTCTGGATCCCTGACCTGGTGCATCTCCTGCTTTCTGTAGAGGACATGAACATCATCGTTGTGGACTGGAACCAGGGGGCAACAACTCTCATCTACAGCTATGCTTCCAGGAACTGCAAAAGAGTTGCTGAGATTCTGAAGAAACTTATAGATGAAATGTTGGTAAGTTGGACGCTCACGCTACGATACAGTCATTAAGGCACAGTATGTAAAGGGCACAAAGGAAGTGCTTAAACCAGCAGGATGTCTGGGAATAGAAACTCCTAAAAAAGGAATACATTAATTTTTGGAAGTGCATGTGTACTGCAGTGCCAAATCCTACCCTTGGATTCCTTTTGGTGCAATATTCAGTTTACACTCTAAGTCTCTACATTTCTGGGTACAAAACTCTCCAGACATGTTTCTCCATACATAGAAACCATACTTCCACTTTCTGTATATCCAAAGGCAGCTTAAGGGGATCAGCTACAGTTCACAGCTCTTCT